ACCTTAAAAACAAAAGAAGCAATGAATGAAATCACACCAAATTTGGCAACAAAAAGTCTCACTACACAAGGAGTGACCATCACTCAAAAAATTATGATTTTGTCATTTGGGAGTTGTAGTTGCTGGGATTTATAGTTCACCTATAATCAAATAGCATTCTGAACTTCACAAACGATGGAATTGAACCAAACTTGGCACACAGAACTCCCATGACCAACAGAAAACACTAGAAGGGTTTGCTGGGCATTGACCTTAAGTTTTGGAGTTGTACTTCACCTACATCTAGAGAGCACTGTGGATGGATCTGGACCAAACTAGGCACGAATACTTAATATGCCCAAATATAAACACAGATGGAGTTTAGGGGAAATAGACGTTGACATTTGGGAGTTGTAGTTACTGGGATTTATAGTTCACCTACAATCAAGAAGCATTCTGAACCCCACCAGTGACAGAATTGGGGCAAACTTCCCACACAGAACCCTCATGACCAACAGAAAATACCGTGTCTTCTGGTGGTCTTTGGCGACCCTTCTGACACTCCCTCGCAACCCCCCACCCCAGGGGTCACAAACCCCAGGTTGAGAAATGCTGCCTTAAGGTCATCCTGTCCAACTCCCTCCACCAGGGCAAGAAAACATAAAGCCCTCCTGACAAAGAGCCATCCAGCCATAGATACAGATAAATATGTATGATTCACACACATACACATGTTTATGAGAGATATAGTACCATAGATTTGAAAGGGACCCTTAAAGAAGGACAATGATATTTTGCATGTTCCAGAGTAGGCAAACCAGACAATCTCCACATCAACACTGGAAAATAAACAGGAAGAAATACTGTTTACCCACAAGGAGAAATTACATACGTTAGAAACCAACACTTTCTCATTACTTTATTTTCCAGATCACCAGACTGGGCCACAGCAATGCGTGGCAGGGGACCGCTAGTTACTTATAAGGAACAATTTGGAAAAGAGATGAATGAGAGGTGACATAATAGCAATCTTTAAATATTAAGAGTTGAAACAAGCTTGTTTTCCCCTACACCAAATACCAAAACGTGAACCAGTGGGTTCAAATTACAACAAAAGAGATTCCACTTAAACAATAGGAATAACATCTTTAGTGTAAGAGCTGTTTAAAATGGAATGGTTTACTTTGGAGAGGTGCGGATTCTCCAACTTTGGAGATCTTTAAACAAAGGCTGGATGGGCACCTTTCAAGAGTGAAGTAGCTGTTTTTCCTGTATAGTAGGGGTTGGATTAGATGGCTTTTGGGATCGTTTCCAAAAATATATGGTTCAATGAAGGAGAGCTCTTGGTTACTATTTGGTAGTGAGTGATCAAAATCTTATTTAACAATATTTAAATGCTGTCCTTTGAAAGAAATACGTAGTTTTACAGGCAGAGCCGCCATGGCTGAACTGTCACTTCCTGACATCCTGTCTTACCTGCCAAATTGCTCATTAGGTCTAGCAATTTTCACCTGCGCCTCCAGTTTCTATATTTCAGCAGGGAATAAACATCAGTTTGCTTCAGACCATTTCTATTATAGCAAGCTCCCTAGCTTTTCAATGAGGCACGCAGCCATCCACTTAACACAGAAACTACTGCTGTGAGCACAGAGTTACTAGTATATTTTTAAAGAAACCTGCATCAATGGAAAAATATGCAGCAGGCTGTTTTTTAAAAAAATAAAAGAAACATTCAAAATTTGAAGTTTCAGTTGAAAGGTAAATAGAAAGGCAAATGTAGAAACACCTAAAGAGGATCAAAATGGTTTGAGTAGTCTCAATACAGAAAAGCAGAGACTTTGTTACCCAGTATTATTCTTGCTTAGCTGCGAAGACGCAATCTTAGCCAAACCTCTATATGAGCACAGTACATGATTACTGCAGAGAATGTATGGTTATATGTCTATAGGAGGGAACAGCACTCCAGATGAATATTGCTTTCTCAGCTAGACCAGATCTAGCTAACCTTTTCCTTTCTGTGGAAGGTGGTATGATTTATACACAAACAAAAAGGGGGTAGCATGGCAACCCGAACAAAGGAAGATGAAAATCTAAGCAGATCATTCAGCCTTTGCTTAATATGCTTAGACAGTGCATCGGAATAGCGGCTGCTCTGTTAACCCTCAGATGCATGTGAACAGGAGAATAAAATCTAGATGCAAACTGCTTTTTCCAATGGAGCAACCCATTTGACACTCGGAAAAAGCATGTTCAAGAGGAGGAAAAAATAACATGAAATTACAAAGCACCAAAGGAAAGAGCAAAACATGTACAGCAGCGACCAAACAATTTCAGATGGAATACTGTTTTTCATTTGGTAGAAGTAAAATATTCACCAGAAACCCTACAATTAGCTGGAAAATTACAATAATTACAGCAATTTTGCATCCCATCTCCAATCTAATTAATAGATATATGATCTTGTCAACATTTAACAATCAGGATCTGCATCTACCATGAAACTGGACGGGTTTTATGAGCTGAATGGGAGTTGAAGAGTAAGACGATAATTATTTGAAATCCTGAGAATACCATTTGTATGCCATGCTTCACTTCACAAGTTAAAAAGGAAATACAATAGGGATATTATTTCCATTTTCAAAGTATATTTAAATCAGGTATTTGAAATCGGTTTGCTTTAATGTCAAGCAACACTGCGAGTATGGCTTCAATTACCCAAGGGGTACAGCATCTTGAAGAACAAAAAATAAAAGGAATTCTTTTAAGTGGTACACAGAGCACCATCTTGGTTTTTCTAGGATATCTATGCCAAAGCATTTCACACATTTTCTCTGGGCAGAGATGTCGTGCAAATATACTGCCCCAGTTAGCATCTTTTTATCAGTTTTAGCAAATGTTACACTTTCTGATAGGCAGGAAAACTTATGCAGGTGTATAAAATGGCCAAGAGAAGCAAAGGTTCAAACTGAATCTGTTATAAGAAAAGACAAGACATCTAGCCTGAATTAGCGATATGAGACAGATTGAGGAACCTATGCAATGTATATGACAATGTTCTATAACAGTGGTTCCCAATCTTTTTTTTTTGACCAGGGATCACTTTCACTAGGGACCACTTGACCAGGGACCACTTAACCAGGGATTACTTGACCAGGGACCACTTTGATCAGGGATTACTTGACCACGGACCACCCTCCAACATTAGTACCAAAAGGGTTATGAATAGGTTTTTGGTCAACTTTAGATTTGGTTTGGGGTGCTGATTCAGAAAATTGCAATGGATAGACCACATCAGCTCTAGTTTCTGATACAGAAGATATGCCATGTTCAACAGCAGGGAAGGAGTGGCAGGCGGTGTGAAAGGGGCGGAAATAAAATAAATAAAATAAAATAAATAATGGGGAAGGAGACTCACGGGACCAGATTTTCGTCCTCTTGGGCTATTGATGGTCCGCAGCCCACAGGTTTAAGAGCCACTGTTCTACAAGGACTGTGAGGTTTCCCTTATGAGGCTATAATCACCTGTCTGATCGGTGGGTACTGGGCTGATTCGGTTGGCACCTCTAAGCTATGTATACAGTTTGAGTGGGTCAAGACACTGAAAGCAACCCTTCCTCCATTCCTGCAATGAGTGTTAACAGGAACAGTTTAGTTTGGTGAGTAATAAAGCTCACAAAGGCCAGTTGAAAAGGTAACTTTTAGAGTCAGTGTTGCTGTTGTTTTAATGGTTTGGCAGAGTGAAAATGTGCATCCCCAGTAAAACCTTTGGGACATTAAAACACACAGTGTGTCTGCTATACCACGTTCTCATCTGTCACGCAACGTATCTGGGGAATGCGAGGGATCTTCTCATTAGTTTCATTTTGTGCCTTTGTTACACTCGTGGAAGAAAAAACTGTTTCTCTGACACAGATTTGGGATGCAATGAAGATGAAGAACGCTTGTCCTCAATGATGAGCTAGCAACAAAGCTCAAGCTGGCAAGGTCATTAAGCAATATAATTTCAGACTCGGGTCATCCTGTTTGGTTATTGTCAGATAAGAGAAATGTAGCCCTGAACAAGTGGGACCCTGCAATGCCCAAATGTTTCAATCCCTTGCTGATATTTTAAGAACAAGCCAAGCAAAACCTACAAGGCTTGCTCCAAATATTTTAGTATAGAGAAATAGAACTTGGTAAAAATGTGGAATACCACCAAAATTAGTATTATTGGTGGCTTTTCGTATATGTCAAATTCTTTCCCCTCCCAAAACTCAGATGCTGTGACTTCTTTTCTTCAAACCAAATATATATTGCACAACGTCAGAACATGGACTTAATTTATACTACGTGTCATAAAGTGAAATGAGTACAGGAAGGTGTAAAAAAGACAGAGTTGCTGCAGTACAGTGACATTTCCTTGTTTTTCATAACATCCAGTGTCAATTATAATCCTTACTTTCATCCTGATTCTGAGCTCTTTTGATCCTGAGAAGAAGAAGATATCAAATACAACCCTCTTGCTCTTAATTTTTTGGAGGGAAGGTGTGAAGAGGAGAGTAGTTCATCAATATTTAAGGCAAGCTAACAAAAAAAATCCTGTGACTTTCACAGTACTGTATGACCTATTATTTATAATCTAATTATACATCTTCTTCATCTTCATTTACTAGGTCAAAACTGCCACTTCTAAAACTATGACCTGGGAAAAAAATTAGCTGTACATTTTTCATGCTTGGCTACCTGAAAATTGGAGGTGTGAGTATGTACTTAAGTATACATGTGCGTGGATGGACATGAGGACACACACACATTATGGATGTTGGAAGTAGACCATAAATGCTGCATTAAAAAAACAAAGCCAAATGGCAAAAGTGTTTTTCCTTGCCTGCCTCAAACGTTTACCCCATTTCTAAATTTTAATCAGCTTCCGACAAAGACAACTAATGAATCATACTCCCAGTTGCACGAGAGGGTAACAGAAGTTGGCATCCTGGTAAATGAAGATGAAATGTGCAGAGGCATGGGGAGTTCTTACTCACTTGTGCGAAGGACCGAAGGCGTGACCTCTATTTCACTTGTTGCTTGGTAAGGCTGGAAGGCTGACGCAGCGTTCGTGCCCAGCTCGCTCCCAAAGATTTCGGGGCTCTGGGTACCCGTGGAACTGGCACTTGTACCATCTCCTCCATGGTGTGGATCTTGTTCATCAAATACAGCTACAAGCTGTGAATAACAATTGGACCTCTGGTTAGAAGAAGCACAGAAGTAACTTGCATCTTTATAGGAAAAGCCTACTCCGAACACAAACTAATTTTAAATGATACTCAGCCCTCCATAGTTAATAGGTTTAAAACTTGTTGATTTAATTAATATGTTCTCTCTACATACTCCAAGGCGGCACAAGTTGACTGAAGAGGCACACTGGAAGACCTAGAAATTCCTAGAGATAACACTTTTCTAAGAACCTCTTGGTGTTCCACTGTGGTTCTATGGTCAGCTTCTACTGACAATACATGTTGATCACAGAATCTGCAAGAGAGCCTAAAGATTCCTTCAGACAAGAAAAATAATGGGTTTTTAATTATTTTTTTCCAACTTTTGTGGTAGTCTTGCATTCTTAATCCCCAATAAGGTGGAGATCTACTGTACAGTGTTATGAACAAAATAGCAGGGTGAGATAACAATTTTTTTCAGAAATCATTTAAAAAAACATAGCAGATGTTACATATTATTTTGACAATAATAATAATTCAACTCTAATTCAAAGGATTGCAGCATGAGAAAATGACAGTAAATTAATAATATAATCCATTCACACATCACTATATTCCCACCCCACCTCTTCCCAGTCTGAGACTTAAGGCAGCTTACAAAACAGAAAAAATGACAATAAATTCCATACAATTTAAAACATATAAAGGCTTAGATTAGAATAGTATTACTTTAACAATGGAATTTGCTAGTTTATGTTGGGTGGGGATTCGAACCCTAGTCTTCACAGTCATAATCCAACACTCCAACCACTACTCCATGCTGGCTCTCTTACTGGAGTCTTAATCTGACACAGAAAATGAAGCAATGAAGGATCCATCCTAACCTACATAGGAAGAATGAAGAATGTTCTGAAGCCTGGGAGCAACCATGAAGAAAATTGCTCCTTCTACATTCCCACCAAACATGCCTGTGAAGGTGATGGGATCACAGAATTGTAGAATAGAAGAACTGGAAAAGTTCACATGGGTCATGTAGTCCAACCTCCTGCCATGCAGGAAAAGCATAGTCAAAGCATCTTTGACAGATGGTCATCCAGCCTCTGTTTAAAAGCCTTGAAAAAAGGAGCTTCCACCAAACTCCAAGGCAGAGAGTTCCACTGTTGAACAGCTCATACTGTCAGGAAGTACTTCCTAATGTGCAGGTAGAATCTCCTTTCCTGGAAGGGTCTTTCCTGAAAATGCTATGTTTCAGACAGGCTCATATAAAAAAATATGGTCCTTCAGACAACCTGGACCCAAGTGATATTTGTTGTTAACGCTCAACTAAAACATCCCTCTATGTGACAATAGGGGAAAAGGTTTATTTCCAGCTGATCATTTCTATTATTTTGTAAATTAGATATCAGTGTTTCCATTAAGTGTTATTTTATAGGAGATATCAGCAAAATCCCTAAATAGCCATTATTTAGCAGACAAAAATACCACCAATTAAACAGATTGAAAAGAATCCTATGGATGGGATAGATTTTCCACTAGCCTCAGTCAAGCATGTGAAACATGATGGGAAGTGCAAGCCCAAAACTATAATGTTAAGAGGCCCATGCATTTCCAATCCCTGTGCCATGAGATGCTATCTAGACTGCTCAATGTTCCCAATTATAATATGAAACACTTGCCAACTCCAACCAAAATTCTTACAAATGTGAGGGGTGTAACTAAAGAAGGTTTAAAGATTATAAACATTGGCAAATATGGTTCCCCACAAACCAGCACAATCAGTATAAATAATGTTCCCCATATAATGAAAAGACAGTGGCCAACTCAATGAATTAAAGATATACTGCTGTTATCTTATTTTATAATTTGTTACAGTAGTTAATTGTGTCATTCACCCAGCAACCCCACAAGGAAGGGATGTGATACTACCCTCAGCTTTGAGATGGGAGACAGGCACAAGGAAGCTAAAATGCCTTGGCAAAGATGAAACAGGAAGCCTTTTAAAAGCAAATAATTAGACCCATTTTTCCCAATTGCCAGGCTATGAATGTGACAGCTGAAATAGCAGTGGATGTAAGAAGGCAATATACAGAGATGTAAAATCTTGAATTTTTTATGCTGTGGGGGGAATGATACCTCTTTTTTTCCTTTGACAATAATAGAAAAAGAATATGAGAAAAAAGCTGAAATGGAGGCAATGCTTATAACTTGCAATAAGCTGACAACAGAATAATCTCCTATATGCTTACACAGAAATTGAGATATAAAGATAATTTTCTTGTCCTTGATTTTTTAAAAGTTTTTAATACCTTGATGAGATTTTTTTGTGTGTCACAAGCAACTTGAGAAACTGCAAGTCGCTTCTGGTGTGAGAAAATTGGCTGTCTGCAAGGACATTGTCTAGGACACATCTGTGGTTTTACCATCCTGTGGGAGGCTTCTCTCGTGTCCGCACATGGGAATCTGGAGCTGACAGCTCACCCCATCTAGCGGATTCAAACTACCAACCTTCAGGTCAGCAGTTCCACCAGCACAAGGGTTTAACCCATTGCACCACCATGGCTCCTTACATTGTTGAGATGCCCCAAATAAAAGGAATCATCTCAACACAGAGCTGGCTTTTGACTCTGTGAAAGTGAACATATATATACACTTCTCTTCACTGTTTTTGCATATCAAGTTCCTCTGGGTTTTATGGGACTCACCTACAAATAGGTGTGTATGGAATTGCATCTTTGCCATTCTATTTTCAGACCTTGAAATATATTATACAGTAGAGTCTTGCTTATCCAACATAAATGGGCTGACAAAACATTGGATAAGTGAAAATGTTGGATAATAAGGAGGGATTAAGGAAAAGCCTATTAAATGTCAAATTACGTTATGATTTTACAAATTAAGCACCAAAACATCATGTTTTACAACAAATCAACAGAAAAAGGAGCTCAATACACAATAACGTTATGTAATAATTACTAAAACATCACAATGTATTGAAGCACCTTTAAATCCAGGTGGGAGGCAGACTACGTTGGATAATACAGAACACTGGATACGCGAAGGTTGGATAAGCAAGACTCTACTGTACATAAATTTGGCAAATTAAATCAAATGTGCAATCTCATCAATTAAAATGGCAACACACAACTGCCTCAAATTCAGTCAAACAATGCAATAAGCTCTTTATATTCACAGATTCAACCACCCACAACTCGAAAATATTCAAAATATTATCTCTAAAATCCTCTCCCCATTTTGGTTCACATTTCCTCATCTTGAAACTGGAGGGAGTGCCATCATCTTGAATAGACACAGTAGTGGGTTCCATATATACCAGTAAGAAGCCTGTAGTAGGGTTTGTAGGAAAGATATGAAGGTGTTCATAGCATGACAAGTGCTACCAAATATACTACAGCAATATGTTCATAGAGCCTGAGCAACATGTGCCTCCAATATTACTTCATTAGCCTGCTCTCAAGAGATATTATTTCCTCCCTGTGTATGAGATCACGCTTTCTGCAACCAGGCACAATAAACAGCAGTACTAAAAACATGGGTTCCTGTAACAATTGCTTAATTGATGGATTCCTGTAACTGCAGTTTAGCTCTATGACAATACAAACTCTTTAAATGTTTTCACGTTATCATGTAATAAGAGTGGGGAAAAGGGAAATTATGTTTACCTGCAAATTCTTTGAAAAAGCTAATCAACAAGTTACTAGAAACAGGCTACAATTCCTTGTTATTGCTATCATAGTATAAGGTCATAAAATACAGGACACCAGGGACTGAATAGTTCTCTTCAACTGCAATGAACTGAGTAAAAAATAGAAATTGTGTTGGATTTGGTAGTTTTGATCAAAGTCACATTTTTACATCAGGATCAAACATTTGCTTATTTATGAGGCTTCTCATCAATTGAAAAAGAAATTGTGCACAAAATAACTTTTTGTATAATTGTAACATGCTGACATTGTGAAATACACCACTTTGAAATGAAGTCCATCGTTTTGAAACACCTTGTATACTGAAATATTATTTTACCCTACTTCAACAAAGCAACAACTCTGCATATTAATAATTATATACAGTGAAATGGAGTTCATTTTATAAACATATATAGATTAGAAACAGATATGGTTATATCTTAGGTTCTCTCTCAGGGTTCAATAATAATGTGGCCTGAGAATAAAATTAATCTATTTCATCTCTATGTTGGGGGTCAGCTGGCCCATTTCCACAAATGTATTCCCACAAATATAAATTCTACAGTGTCCAGCTATTTTATGCTAGCCTACAACACACCCAGGAAGTTCCCATAACTCGCTGGTAGGTCCCAACCCACCATCTGGGAATCTCTGATGAAGGGGGTGGAAAATTAGAATGGACCCTTCTAGTTAATTAATTTGGCAACGATTAAATCTTTGGTACACATTTCCCAGGAAGAAATGCATCTTAATATCCCCATTGAAAACTTTGTGAGGCCAAATTTATAAACAGAGTTCTCAAAGGAGCACTTACAATTATGAGCTAATACCTAGAAATAGCAATAAGCAAAGGGTTTGGCTTTATTTAAGTCCTGATATGCTCTTCCAGGCCCCTTGGGCAGAGGATTGGATTCAAACATAATAACTTAATATGTGCACTTAAGTCTAGATGAAGTCAATAATATTTAAGTTTCCTCAACTAGGGAGTTTAGACAAGGCATAAATATAGAATACACAGGATAATGGAGCATCTCTCATCTCTGCTTTATGAAAAATGTAAATTGTAAATCACAGATACATAGATCACAGACTGATGAGGCATCTCCCAGATAGGAGAATGTGCTTGTTTATGTTGGGGGAGGAAAAGATCAGAGATGTGTAAACAAATGTTTAAGTGAAATACTCTAAAGCATTGGTTCTCAGCCTGTGGGTCCACAGGTGTTTTAGCCTACAACTCCCAGACATCCCAGACAGTTTACAAGCTGTTAGGATTTCTGGGAGTTGAAGGCCAAAACAACTGGGGACT